TTTCTCCAGACCACTTGAAAATCCTTTTCCAATGGACAAATCCAGATGCATTAAAAGACAGACAAACAAATAAACTCCCTCCTGCGCTAAGGTCGAGTTTATTTTAAATGGGCTTTGCCCTTTTGTGAGCCGAGGATAAGAGGCAGCATTTTTAATGAAGACAAGTAGGATCTAAGCTGATCCTTTCCTCATTGCACCAAAGGTCACAGATCAATGATTCCAATAAAATTTGAAATAAATATATCCATGCTTGCAGACAGGAGATAATAATCTGTTGTTAATCAACACAACAGCCATCTGTGTCCTGGATAAACTGGAAAGCCCAGTGTGTTATTTAATCTGCATGACAAATACTAAAACATGGTGGCGACGTGTAACTTTATGCTTCTGTTGTTCTTGGTAAAGTTTTTATAGCACCATGTGGTCTTAAATGCAAATATTTAAGCCCATACTTCTGATCGCACACGCAAAGGAAGTCATCAAAAGAATGCATGCTTGCCATCTTGTATGCAAAGGTTTAAGTTCATTTAGCAGCCCAGGCGTGTATTTGGACGACTCTCAGCTACCACCACCCCAAGTTTTAGTTCAGCATCTGTAAAACTGACTGAGGTACAGCCATTCTTGTTTGCTAAGGTTTATTAACAGTTGTGGCTATATAACGAGGTTGACTCCAAATGTTATTGTAGATGTACATCAAATGATTACTTTGTGAGAGTTTCATTAAAAATCTGTTCACTGGTTCACTGGATATTTTGCTAATAAACAGAAAAGCGAACATAAAAATTATACAGTCATCAGAGTTTTATTGCAAATGATGATAAAACTATAGTGAACCAATAAAACAAAATACATTCACAAAACAATTATTACATAACAAAACAAACAAAACAATGTTTATTCACTATGGAACAGAAACAATTCTCTAACGATATTTTGGGGGCCCAGATGGGTGTAGAGGCAGGACAGCCGACTCGGGATCCGACAGTTCCAGGTTTGATCCCCAGTCATTGCACATCTTGTGGTGTCTGAGCAGGACACCCTATCCCCAGTTGCTCCCAGAGTGCCTTCAATAGCTGCCCACTGCTCCACCTGAGTGTATCCCAAGTGTGATGGGTTAAATGAAGAGACAATTTTGCCATTGTATGGGAACATACAATGATGACAACACATAACACGTCATTACTTATGGTGTCGTAAAGTGTTACCATTGACCCAGTCTGCGCCTCCAGAGACAGAAATGTACTTTTGTGTTCTGGTATATAAAAGTGCCCACACTTTTTTTTTTTTTTTTAAATTACCAGTTAACCTAACTTGTGCTTTTAACCTGTCATAGGGAGCTGACATGCCCAAGAAAAGTGCATGTGTCTACAGACAGAACTGACAAGAAATCTCTGCTCTGAAAAGCACCAAGTGAGGCTCAGGCACGAATCATTTACTCTGACGGTGCAGCACTGTGCAGGAGAGGGTGAGTGGGAAAAACAACAATGATGGCATGTGCAAGTTTTCAAAATCACAAAAAATATGATCAAATATACATTTTATAATTAAGTTTAAAGCCATAACCTGTCGATATCGAACCTGCAGCACATACCACAACAGTTTCAGCTCAGAAAATTAGCTTTTATTTTGTAAAGCCAACCTCTACTTAGAGCAGATTCCACTCAAGAACAAGAATACCAATATCAAAGGCCTTAAGTGCTCTCTACTTGAACATTAAAAAAATGTCCCCTATGCTTGAAAATATTTATTGTTCAGACACAAGAAGCACGCTGGTGCAGTTGGTAGAGCTGCTGCTTCTCAGACAGCAGGTCACCCCAGTTCAAATCCCAGCTGGGGGGCCTTTAGGGTGGAGTTTGCATGTTCTCTCTGTGCATGCGTGTTTTCTCTGGGTACTCCGGTTTCCTCCCAGATCAAAAACATGCATGTTAGGCCGAATGGTAACTCTAAATTATCCCTAGGTGTGAGTGAGTGAGTGAATGTTTGTCTCCGTGTCCCTGTGATGGACTGGAGACCTATTCAGGGTTTCTCCTGCCTCTCACACAGTGACATGGGCACCAGTAACTCCCATAACCCAAAAAGGAAGAAACAGATAAAGATCATGGATGGGCTCAGACAAGAGCAGAAATTCCCCAAACTACTAAAAATGATGACTGTCTGCTGTAGCATCCATTCATTATCTTTTATCAACTTCTTCCATTTTGGATCACGAGGGTTGCTAGTGCCCATGTCCAGCAATCACTGTGCGAGGGATGAGGTACACCCTCAACAGGTCACAAGTCCATCACAGTCTGCTGTAGCAATAATGTCAAAAAAAAAAAAAAAAAGATTGGCTATTAATTGCTATTGTTTCTGGGACCTTGATTTCCAAAGGAAATGCAAAATTTTCTTTCATCAGAGAACATAACTTTGGACCAATCAGCAGCAGTCCCAGGCGAGAGGCTTCTGACACCGCCTCTTGTTCAAGAGTGACTTGACACAAGGAATGCAACAGCTGAAACCCATGTCTTGCATACATCTATGCATGGTGGTTCTTGAAGCACCTACTCCAGCTGCAGTCCACTCTATGTGAATCTCCCACACATTTTGGAATGGGTTTTGTTTCACAATCCTCTCCAGGGTGCAGTTATCCCTATTGCTTGTACACATTTTTTTCTACCACATCGTTTTCCATTCACCTCTCGATTCATGTGCTTGGACACAGAGCTCTGTGAACAGCCAGCCTCTTTAGTAATGACCTTTTTCATCTTGCCCTCCTTGTGCAAGGTGTCAATGGTCGTCTTTTGGACAACTGTCAAGTCAGCAGTCTTTCCCATTGTGTAGCCTATAGAACTAGACTAAGAGACCATTTAAAGGCCTTTGCAAGTGTTGAGTTAATTAGCCGTTTAGACTGTGGCACCAGGTGTCTTCCAATATTGAACCTTTTCACAATATTCTAATTTTTTGAGATACTGAATTTGGGGTTTTCTTTAGGTGCCAGTTATAATGATGAATAGTGCTTGTAATGTTTATCGTTTAAGTTTCTTAGCTGAATTTGGAGATCTTATAACTTGTGTTTGGTTAATCAATTTAAATACACATGTGTTGCAACTGGTAGAGCTGCTGCCTCTCAGCGAGCAGGTCCCTGGTACAAATCCTGGTCCGGGGGACTTTCTGGGTAGAGTTTGCATGTTCTCTCTGTGCATGCGTGGGTTTTCTCCAAGTACGCCGGTTTCCTCCCACAGACCAAAAACACTCATGTTAGGTTGATTGGGAATTTTAAATTGGTGAGTGTGTGTGAATGGTTGTGTTGTTTGTCTCTATGTGTCCCTGTGATGGACTGGAGACCTGTCCAGGGTGTACCCCGACCCTCGCACAGTGATCGCCGGACATGGGCACCGGTGACCCCCGTGACCCAAAATGGAAGAAGCGGGTAAAAGATAATGGATGGATGGATGTGGTGCAACCAACACCACTTAAGTATTTGGCTGCAGCTTCATTGTAGTCTACATCGGTATAAGAAAATCTTACACTGCCCCCTTGAGGGCAGTCCAAGTTCAGTCCAAGTTGGACTAAATTATTCTTAAAAAGCTCCCAAATGTTATAATGAAGGTTTATGAGAAAATTTCCCTAAACATTCAAAGGAAGCAGAAGTTTCTTCTCAGTGGAAGAATGTTAAATGAGGCAGTCTGAGTCGCTGACAAAGGATTACTTTTTGAAGGTTGGCCTAGCCGAGGTTTCCGTATAAACTCCACTAGACTGAGCATATCGCTCGTACAGCCGTTCTCACACACATATTCCATAGGAAAAACGCTGTGGGTGTCCACGGCTCAGGTAAAGAGATAAAATACTTATTTTGTAATGGTTCATATTCCCCAGTCTAAGCTGTGCTTTGCACCTTTCAGGCTGTACTTTTATTTTCAAAAGCTTCATGAATAAAATCTCTCTGCCACTAGAGTGCCAAGAAAAAAAAAGATCTGGAAATTGGGCAAGCCTGCCTTCAGGGACTGCTTGTACTTTACCTTAAGAATACAGAACCAAGAGCAACACTACTTTCTGCAAAGTAAATTGCTTATATTCAGCAGGGGAAATTAGGACTATTTCTGACCTTGCAGTTGAAATGCAATTGGGAACAGTAAACTAGTCTATCTGGTGTGTTCCTCCTCGTGCAAATATTCATTAAATGCATATAAACGGATACAAATTTGTGAAATGTCCAAAAGGACAGGATGTTAGGGAAACAGCCGATCAAAGTATAATCAAGTGTAATGCATGCACTCAAAATAAAAAAATGCAAGACAAATTGGCTCTGGAGAACTTGGGAGGCTGCATCCTCTGAACCTTCGCACAAAAGCAAATTGAAATTTATTTAATTTTGACTGAGGCACAACAGAAACGGAATGAGACGAGGAGATGAGTAATCATTTTTGACAACGGGCCAGGAAAATTTTTACATCATAACCTGAAATATCAGGACAAGATTATTCAATATCAATGTCTAAAAAAAACAAACAAACACAAGATGAACATTTCGGTTTTTATTTACAATGATACTCTTTGCCTTAATTTTTATTAATTATGGTGTATAATCTTAAAATAAAAACTGTCCAAGCAGCTGTTTTGTTTTTTTAAATATGTTATATCAGAGAATTATTTATCTCCACTTTAACAGCAAAGCCACAAAGAAATGACAAGAATAGCTCCTGACAGATATGTTAACACCACAAGACAAAGGAAAGAGAAGCAGGATCCTGTAAGGTTTTATTATAACTAAGAAATCTGTCTAAATGAAGTTCAAAGCAAGTTTTTACCCTGAATCGTTCAGGTAATTCTTACTCGAGTAGCTTTAAAGCTAAAACATTTAAAAAATAAGGAATGCAGAAATATGGGACTTTTTTTTTTTAAGTTTTGGTGTTTAATATAACAAGGAAATAATTTCATTAACATCCTGTAATAACAAATACAATTCTCAGTGAGTTAAATGATGTTTCTTAGTGACCTGAAACCTGGATATACATGATGGCTTTCTGTTTAAAGTTTATGGGTTGTTGTCACAAGTAGTCTCCTCGTCAATCTGCTGGAGCACGAGCGCATCAGTTTGAAGTTGGCTGGGTACCTGAAAGAATGAACAGCTCCTTTTAGCTCATAAAACAGACTCGGAGCTGCTGCAGCTGGATGAAGGCACTCACTTTTGAATCGCATGTAGCAAGAGTTACAGTAGAGCTGTTTGTTTCGTATTCTGACTTCCGTCCCAGCTTGAGAGCCTCCGAGGTCGACCTTGCAGTCGATACACTGTGTGCATTTAGAAAAGGACAAGAGTTAAAGAGTCCCTCAGCTGGATAAGTTTACTGAAGATCCCACAGGTGGAGAGATGACGACAAACTGAAGGCCTAGATTTTAAAGATCAAGATGAAATATGAAAAAAAGATTAGCACAGAAGATCAAGATACAGATGCAGAAGATCAGATCTGAGTGAAGTCCTGTGAAGAACAAAACTAAGAACTGTTTTCAAAAAGGGAAAGTTATTAGTCTGAAACAGAAACGAGTTGGTGCAGCTGTAAAGAGATCAAGACTGTCAAAGTGCCTTGTGGTAAAAAGAAGAAACAAGATGTTTTAAGGGATCAGGTTAGTCTCGGAGGAAATGTCGATGCGTGCCACTGATGTGCTCCCGTGTCGACCGGAGCCTCACTCTCACCTTAAAACAGCTCAAATGATAACAGAGCTCGAGGGACTCGATGATCATGGCTGCTCCTTTTCCCAGTGGGGTGATGCAGAACGCACAGATTTTCTTGCCACTCACTGACCTGAATTACAGAACGTAGAGCTGTGACCTGACAGCCAGGCGATCATGAATGATACATGTGTGACTGCATGCACACACAGACGACAGGATCACACTGGGATACACACAGCTTGAACTGGTACATGGTAAACACGTGAGAAGTACTGGTTTGAGGTTTACATTAAGCGTGTGCTTGTTTGACGCGTTTGTGCGATTTATAAAATACTTTTCTATCCAACAAGAATGAAATTAAAGGAAAACATATGAACGCTTGTTTGGATGCAAAAATTCTGGCAAAGAAAATCCTTGCAGAAATTTGTATTTGTGACCATCTTACAAACATCACACAAATTAGACCACCACCAAGAATGCAAACAAATATAAACAAAGATGTTGTAGAAGAATGCCCTTTGAAGCCACTCCCCACGTTGAGATGTCAAGTTTTCCTCCTACAGTAAAAGTGAAGTGGCGTGTTAGGAGCTGTTAATTTTACCTGCTGAGCTGCTGAGGGCCACCTGCCTCAGACGTGGGGTCTGGAGAGGTTGTTGGTGACGGAGTAGATGGGGACGGTTGCGACCAAGGAGAAGAGAGGGTTCCTGCCCCAACTCTAAGGGAGCCCATGGAATAAGAGGAAGGCAGAGTGGAGGAGGCAGACCGCTGAGCCACTGACCCGCCGGTGTAAAGAGAAGAGTTTCCATACAGAGAAGACTGAGGTCGAGAGTAGTTTTGGACAAAGGAGCTGCTCCTGGGTGTCTGTGATGAGCGCCAGGAGTTTGAGGAGCCGTCCAGGTTGTCAAGAGACTCACCTCTGCAAAGCACCCACATTAGCAGGTTAGTTAAAGCAACAAACCAGCTGGCTTACCAACTGTTTTCATAATCAGTTTTTTACAAATCAACCAATCCAAGTTCATCAGAAGTTGATCAGTGTAGCAGCCAGGCTGGTAAACGGTTTAGTTTTGCACCCAGGATGTTGATAAGTAAAATGTGACGGAGGAGATCTGTCTACCTGCGCATTGGTGGCACTTCGCTCTCCCAGGTGGTGACTGTGCTGGAGGAGCGCTGACGGATCCAGCTGTTGTCCGTGAGCAGCGACGTTGTCTTCTTCATCTCCCTCAGGATCTGCTGACGCTCCATCTCAACCTGCGATGCGAGCTGCTGCTGACCCTTCTTGTCAGCGACTCCAGGACCTGACACTGTATCTAGGAAGGACAGAAAAACAATCGGTACACTGACATGGCCAGTTCACTACGACTGAGCCGTGGATCACAAATTGTCAAGAATGGCACAAGAGAGTTAAAATACACAAGAAACAATTGAAATATGATTATAGTAGGGATGCACAATATTATCGGCATGGTATCGGCCGATATTACCGTTAAAGTTCAATATCTGACATCAGCCATTCCATCAAAATAACTCAGATATAAAAGACACGGTTTAAATGCCAGTGACAAAGATGCCTACAGCGCCAGCACAACGTGATGACGTCATGCGCGCCTACCTGATCTCCCGTCGGAGAAGAAAATTCAAAATGTCGGCCATGTGGAAGGGTTTTTTTTTGTTGAGGATGTCAGATTCCCAAGATTTATGGACTACATTGAGCCTCACTACATCCTCCCCAGTCACAGATATTTTTCCAACGTAGCCTTACCCGAGTTACAAGCCGTCATTTCCGACGTCACTGAGAGGCTAATAGCCGATAGCACTTGGGTGAGTTTTACTACAGACATGAAGTGTTAGCCCCGTTAGCATGATTAGTCTTGTGGCACAATGGATAGACAAAAACTTTGAACTTAAAAAGTCTGTCCTTCATGCACAAGAGTGCAGAGGATCCCACACTGCAGCTAGGAACCTGGAACAAGCCTCCACAAGTGAGACAGCATCACAGGTGACTAATGCTAATAAATAACATTTAACACTTTTCATTTAATATAAGTCAAAGTGCTATGCATATCATATGGCTGTTACTGAATATATATGTCACCAGCTCTTGCAGCTGGGACACAATTTTTGCGGCAAATAAGAGGGCTATGTTCTGACAAAGGATATCAGTATCGGTTAACGGACAAATAAGTTTTAACATATCGGCATATCGGCCAAAAAGCCAATATCGTGCATCCCTAGATTAAAGTGAGATAAATGACTTTACTCAATTTGACTACAAAATGCAAACTAAAATTAAATCATGCAGGACAAAATAAATAAATAAAAATCAAAACTGAATTAATCTGAGAAGAATCCCACTCCAAAGAGTGAATTAGTCATTTCATGGTTAGACAACTGATTAACTTATTTGGTGGTTCAGCTGCAAATCAAACAGCTGAAAGTTCTGATTTAGTGAAACTAATCAACTGATTGGATCCAGATCAAAACAGAAAGATGGCGCTTCGGACCAGAAGCCCACCTCTCCCTTCCTCTCTGTCTCTCGTGGCATTTATGTCGTTTCTCCACTCCAGCTCCCGCTCCGACACAGCGCTCTGACTTTGGGTTCGCCTGTCGCACGCAATCCTCAACTTCTCTTTCAGCAGCCAGTGAGACGTACCTCCGGGCTGCACATGCACACCTACAGCGAGGTACAGCCCACATACATGCAGAGTGTGCAACATGCCTACATGGAACCAAATGAACAGGATAAATGAAGAAAACTGACCTCTTCTTGGTGGCAAATCGTCTTCATCAAGCTCAGGGGATGACTTGGATTTTGTCCTGTGAAACAGAAATAATGTTTTCATTCAAACAAACAAGGTTCAAGTCAATTAAAAGAAAAGGAATAATTGCAATCCTCTAATTCCAATACTAAAAAACAAAGATATATTTTGCTTTGTGCCAGGTTTTCTATAGAAAATCTGAACAAAATTTCAGCAGGAAACATGAAAATCTGCTCCTTTAAACATGAACTGATCGCAATACATTTGTGAAAATTTCAAACATTTTAATGTAAAAAAAAAAAAAAGAGCTATTCCCATTTCATATGGAAACGTACACCATTTGCAGGTCAACAGTTTTGTAAAGCACATTAAACATTGAATTACCATATTTTTCGGACTATAAGGAACACTTAAAGTCCTTTAATTTTCTCAAAAATCAACAGTGAGCCTTATGTATTAATCAGGTTGTGCTTACTGACCTCGAACATATTTTATGTGGTTATTGTGAATGAACTGAATAAAGTTCGACTTATCTGACTGTTGTTTCGCTTAATGCGCCTTATACTCCGGTGCGTCTTATGTATGAAAACAGACCCACTCATTGATATTGCGCATTACAGTCCAAAAAAATACAGTACTTATTTAATTACTTAACTCGTTTTAAAACAGGCTCTCTTCTCAATTTTCATTTAAAACATTGTGTGTTTGGATATCAAGGATAGTGAATGCCGAGGCTTAAGAATTAGAAATAGTCTCAGTTTCTATGGTGAATAAAATGCCTTGGCTGACATTTTAATTGTGATGGCTATATTTTCTTAGTCTTGTAAGTGAGGGTACACTTAATAAAAACAAAATGTAATTGGTGGTATAGTTGTTATTTTATATCAAACCTGTGTGTTAGATGTGTCAAACCCCTTTGGTCTTGGCCCAGCTCAGACAGCTGTCAGCTTGTCAAAACTGAACTGTTTAAACTGAGATCATTCAAAGAGCTATGTAAAACAATATAATAATTGTTCTAACTTTTCCACAGAACACTTCTTCATATGATCTGAACTATTGCTTAACATTTAATTCATTTTCTTTTGACACCCTCCTACATAAGCTCTTTTCACAGTTCGACATTGATGTTAGTTGGTTATGAAGCAAACATAAAAACATGATGTAAGAACAGGTAGTAAATGCTTTTAGACAACAGATCTGGGTGTACAGCCAGACAGACGTGTTCTCCTGCACTGACCTGTCTGTAAAGGACAGTGGAGGCTGAACAGCAGCAAAGCTGTGGGAGCCACCAGACCTTTGTTGAAGAGCAGAGTGAACAAGGCAGTGAGAAGATTAGAGGAGGAGGTTGAAGCAAACGCATTAGTTGCTTTTATGTTAATGCACAGACAGTAAAGTGTTAAATGTGTTATCAGCAGAATGGTTTAAATGTGACAACATGAGAGAGTTAAGGGCAGCAGGAGGAGGAGCTGTGGCACTACTGACCACTGCTGCTGCTGCTCCAAGGCTCTTTCTCTTTGTTGCTGCTCAGCAGCTTCCCGTCGCCTCCTCTCCTCCTCCATCTCCTCCTCTTTCCTCCGTTGCCATCTCAACTCCTCCTCCTCAATTATTTTCCTTTCTTCTTCCTCCTGCCTCTCTCTCCTCTTCCTCTCCTCCTCGAGCCGCTGCATCTGTCGCTCCTCCTCTTCCCTCTTCCTCCTCTCCTCTGCCTGCCTTTGGCGCTCCTGCTCCACCTTCCTCATCCTCTCCTCCTCTTCCCACAGAGGAGGTGTGGACTGGTGGGCAGGCACGTGTGGGCCGATATGATGGCTGTTCACCTGGAGACGGTCAGGTTACCGTTGAGAAGGAGAACAGAAAAAAGGAAGTATTTAAACACAGTAATATTTAGAAACTACCTCGGAGAAACATGTTTGCAGTAAAGAGACTTCCTAAATCACTTAAAGTTACAAACCAGGAAACGATATGTAAATCCATTTTTCTTTCTGTTGCAAAGCTATTTAATGTGCAAAATATCCACATGACTGGACGTCGCCCTGCTCCTGCTTTCACTCAGTGTTTTATCTGAAAGCGTCCCGCTTTTTAAAAGTCAGGTTCAAGACTGTGTGGCCACGTAATCACAATATAATTATAGTATTTAACATCAAAGCTCTTTGGATACATTTGGAAGAGTTTGAGCTGTGAGTCATGGTTAATTGCCAACTTTCAGCACTCAGACAATATTTCTGATATTAGGTCTAACAAATTAAAATGCTGTGGTTACCTGTTGTTGGGCCCCACTTGTGGCAATGTCTTGCTGAGCTTTGATCCATTCCTCCTGCAGCTTTTCCTGATCCCGCTTATATTTTTCCTGCAAGCAAGGAAGACCAAAGAGTCTTTAATGCATACAGTCAGGAATGTTTTTGTTTTTCCTTACAAGGACTCGCATAGTACATAAAAAGCCTACAATAATCTTTTGAAGTTAGTCTTTCTTTGCAGATTGTGAAATCAGATTGTGTTGCAGGGAAGAAAAGCAGTGGAGCTAACGAGCCCCCTCAGATATATCAACATTAAGCTTCGCTCCCTTTAATGTCCATCCAGAAAAAAACATCCCAGCAAAACAATGTGCACAATTTCCACTAACTTTAACTGTGCACAAAGTATGATAGATATTAGATGAATACTTTAATAACCCAACAATTGTCTGAGTTCAACACGTGGCAGCAGAAACCACCCTGAAGACTTAAAGTGTTATGTTATCAGAAATTTAGGCTTGCGAAGAACTGACAACTATTTACTTGTTTGGTTTATTTTCATCTGAGCTTATTTATAAATGAATAGAGATCTAATAATTACACGCCGAGTGCAATCTGTACTAAATATAGTAACTTCCATAATCTATAAAAGAGGAAAGTTTGATGAGGCTCTAAAGGACAATGCGTTAAAATACATAAAAGCACTTTGATATATATTTTTTTCTGTTTCATATTTTACATCAACATCTTTTTCTGATCATGTGATAACCGCAGCATAAAGCGTAACGTAAAGCTCTTGCGTATTGCACCAACCTGCACATGCCTTCTACATACCTGCAGGAGGCGTTCTTGTTCTTTCTGCCATTTCTCTTGTCTTTTGCGCTCTTCTTCTGGGTCCCAAGACCAGCGGCTAGAGGAGTGAGTGATTGCAGGAACTGGTATCTGAGGACAGAAATAACCATTAAAAAAAAAAAAAAGTTTACAGGCCTCCAAGTTTAATTAAAAAACAAAAACACATTTAGTGTTTGTTTTAAACTATAGAAAAAACAGTTAGAAAATAAATTGCCATTCAGTTTCTATAGGGATACAGAATGGCAAGTAGTTAAGGGGACTTGGATTAAAACTTACTGAGATTCTGGGAAACAAAAGACAAAAGTTTCAAGTTATAAACTATTGAAATTCACTTCAGTCCAATTTCTGGGCTGAGGAACTTTGCTAACGTGAAAACCTTTTGGCAGCAACAAATAAAACCTGCATCCTACTCATCAATCAGGTGTTCCACTGATTACTGCATCAGAAAAACTACCTGTGAAATACTTAAACTAATTCATCCTACTTTAACAGTTATATTCTACCATGTTGTTGTTTACCATTTTTCTTTTGGACCTTGTCAATATTATATTTCTTTTTCACTTTTTGGTACTTTATTTTGTAACATTGTTGCATGCTTTAGTATTTCTTGTTTGTAGCGAGTCGAATCGGTTCTTCTCATCCTTAACATTTCATTGCATTGTTGACCTTGTGTGTGTCTGCATATGACAAACAACTTAACAGCTGTGTATAAAAATAACCGTTACTATAACCACTGATGTATCATCAGGTCCACACAGCTCTTTGGTGGCCCAGACCTTATGTTTTAATCGGAATCCTAAATAAAAGCATGCAACAAAAAGAAAATATTGATCATATAATATAATATATTAATAGTAACTTCAAAATAATCGCCTCTAAAACCTAACTTGACTGGTAAAGTGGACATCTGAATGGAAAAACAAAAACAGTTGAATCATCAACAGTTTTTTTTTTTAAAGGTATTAGATATTTTTTAATGTGTAGACTAAAAACACAAATTTGTTCAACTTTTAACCACCCACAGAAGCAGACCTGACATGCCTGTGAGAGGCTGAATAGAGTGGATCAGAGTGTTGCAGTAACTATCAGAACCTGTTTTTGCAGATGCGTTCATAGTAAAAGAGCAAACATCCCACAGATAAAAGAAATCGACACTACTCACATCTGGAACTGCAGCTTCTGATCCTCCTGGGAAAGAAAATACAGTCAGTACCTGAAGCCCATTCAGGCAGAACAGCATGCGAATAAAATTTAACCCTCAGGCTTCAAGTTTTAACTCATTTTTTTAAGACCCCAGATGATTCATTTTTTAATTGAATGTCAAACTGCAACAGTGATACATCTTTTTAGCCAGCCTTAAGAGGCAAAGGTTAAATTTTCCTTTGGGACTTATTGATTCTCTCCATACTGGGTCACAAACATGTTGACATTTACATCTGATGGAATCCCAATATCTCTGAGAGGAAAATCAATAAATTGATTGTGAAGACATGATCAAACAAGCTAAAATCAGCAATATGCATGCAGAAACAGCAAGCACAGGACAGACGATCTTGAAAGGCAAGCAGACACGTGAATAAGTGTGTGTTGGAAAAGCTTTTAACTTCATGTGCAGCAAAGTGAAAAGTGTAGCCATGTGTTTAGTTTGGACATCATTCAATATTACCACCAACAAGACTTGAAAGATTTGCTTGTGTGGTTGTTGAGCTGAAATAATGTCATGCTGCAAAGCTTCAGGAGCCTTTACGTTCCCATTTTTTAAAACGCTATAAATTTGGACTAAATTATCACAAAATTGTGTTTGCTTCAGCAGCATGCCAGTATTCCAGGCTGTACCAGGCAAAAGTGAGAACGTCACTGCAAACTTGACCCTGTTTACCACAGAGAAAGACCAGCGCACCGACACTGGACCCAGAACCACCTGAAGGAGGGAGGGGGCACAGCACAAGAGAAGCAAAACTATAAATGTTTGGGCCTTGAGGGGCTTCCATCGTAATTCTCACAGCTTTATCCACTTGGTGAAAGGTTTACGAGTTGAACACACATGCAGCTCCTACTGGGAGAGCTTAGCAATTCAGAGATAACAGCACATAGAAAACAGCCACCAGAACATGCACAAGTCAGTTATTAATAAGTACCACCCACACATCCCCATCAGCTGGCTCCTTTTCTCCTTTTTTTATTTTTACCTTGTTCAAAAAACTCTGATCTCCGTTTTAAGTTTTTCAAAGATATTGGTTCAGACTCTACATGAAGAAAAAGAAAACAGGATAAAATAAAACACAAAAGGGGGAAAATTAACCTTAGACAGCATTTATTCTATTAAATTCTTACGAACTTGTGTTCATCATGTTGTTTCTCATAGTAGATGTCTCTTACAGTGAGTGACTCTTTTTCATAGCTTGCTTTCAAGTCAAACTGACACCAACACTGATGGGCTTTAAAATTATGACCAGAAATAATCACGAGAATCAATATTATAACCTTTCTGCCCTTTACCTTTGTTCCTCATGGTTACCAGTTCCTCTTGAAGATTCCCATTAACTCTGTTTGAAGCCACATCCTGCAGGGAAACATTGCAGAGTGTGCACTTGTTAAAGAGTCTCTTTAACCAGGAACAATACAATCCATCCATCTACTTACCACAAAAGGATGAGTGGGGGCCTCCTTGGCTGGCACCGTTTCTGTCAAAGTGCGCGAGCTGAAATCCAGACTGGACTTGATGGTTTTTGTTTCAGGAGAGCCTGGAAGTACTGAATGATCCGTGCTGGTCAGATTGATGGTCTTATGGCTTTTAAATGGCAGGGAAGGTTGATCTCTGTCCCAGTCTGCATGCAGTAAATGCAACGGGCAGAAAAATACATGGTGTGTTTGCACATTAAGCCATGTTTGGTGTGTTTGTGAGTCTTCTGTATATGCAAGCCTCATTTGACACTGGTTACCCACAGGCCACAGGAAAAGCAAGGGTGTTATGGTGTTATTGTTGGGCGCAGCAGGGGGAGACAGAGAAACCACCTTCCCCAGCCATGCATCCCAATAAAGCTTTCAGTAAACCCAAACAGCCTTTCTAACATGTTAAAAACCTTTAAACTTTACTACACCAGTTAAACAAAGACTTTGTGTTATTTCAGTAAGCTACACCGAGTAGTTTTTAATTTTCTAAAATGGAATCGATGCAGTTGGAACTCGGCACCATGAACCTGAGCAGGTTAGTCCTTTACAAGAGAACACTGCATAGAGCAAAACATGAGTGTCAATAAAGCAGAGAAGCCAGCAATAATAATATATATTTTTTAAATTGCAGAAGTGATAAAAGTAAATGCAGCAACAAAACCCCCAGAGGTCAAAACACCATCCTCCCCCTTCACCCAGCAGGACAAAAACAGTTTACAGTTCTTTCATCATTAAGCAGTCGAGATTATTCATGGATGACTTCACAATAGTTTACAGACCAATTTAAAGTGTCAAAACTGTTTAGCAACACACAAAGCCCAAGCAGAATCGTCAGTGCAGGAATGTAACCACTAAATGGTGTCGTTTTTTTCTTCCACATTCAGTCTCCCACACAGACACACGATCACTCACTGTTCTGGCCATGACGGCGAACATCCATGACCAGGCTACCCTCCTGCAAGGCCGTCTCCAGGCAGGACCTCCATTCTATGTAGCTCATTTCTGCCACCTTCTGCCCGTTCACCGTCAGAACCTCGTCCCCAACTTGAAGCTGGCACATCTCCGCTGAGCTACCTTAAAGACACAATTACAACTTCATTAAAGCTTTTTGGAAAGATTTTCAGAATTGGATGATTTTCAAGAGCTCTATTCCACCTTTAAATTTTACTATAATAAAATCTGGACTGTTAACAGGAGATGAAGTTTTAAATTATGGTAACAACAATTTAATCCTTATGGCTAAATTTTTTATCCACAAAATGCCATGTCCTGAAAAATGCCCCCATGTTCAACATTTTTTTAACTGAAATAATTTTTTTCAAGGAAGTGCTTAAATGCTGTAACCTTCCAAAAGCCCAATTGTTATACCAGTATATTAATAGCTTGAACCTCCTCTTGCATTTGTAACATTTTTTTTGTTTTGCTGTGTCCTTAAATTGTTCATTTTCTTTCTTTATTTTATTTCTATTCATAATTTCTGTTTAGTTTTTATCATGTCAAATGTGAACTTGTTTTGTTGTATGCCTTGTTATATTACGTTCTGGTTTTTTTTTTGTTTTTTTTTTCCCCAATAAAGACCAAAAAAACAAAACCTTGACGCAAAGGTCAAGGGTCATTAGCAAAGAAAAAATACTTAATTTCACCCCTTTAATGGTGAATGTCAGGGAACTTTTTTTAGTTCAAAATGGCATCAGCTTTTCATTTCCTCTCATTGCTTTGCATGGTTTTATATTTGTATTACCTGCCACTGTGAACGTTCATCTTATATTGAACTTTTAATTATTTATTTCCAACATTTTGCTAAAGAGAATTTAAACTCAGAAAAAGCAGCTGACTGTTTTCCAACATGCAATCATTGGCTTGATTACAGAAATAAAGGGAAAATAAGCACTGATCTTTTAAAAACCAATTAAATAAAAATTTGGCAACACTTACACAATAAGCCTAAAATGAGGATTAAACAAGCTGCAGTTCAAAACTCATGAGTTTGTCGACACTATTCAACTGCGTGTCCTACAGCGTGGTGCAGGTGGAGAATCTCAGTAGAAAGAGGCTCAGACCCAGAAGAACTGACCCAGTTAGATGCTGCCCTACATAAGTCTGGCACCACCACTGCAATGGACTCAAAAGCTTGCAGACATCCAACAAGCGGTGTTTAAATGGGAGATGAACCTGAATCAAAGTGCTGCACAGTGCAGCCGTCACACAGATGACTAACAACTCATTCAGTGTTTGATGACTTTTCTTGAAAACTGCTGCAGTTCAACTCAAACACTGATTTTAGAGGAGCAAAGCTTTGCTTGTGCAATCCAAATTCATTTTATTTGAAGGTAAATTCTGTTTGTACCTGGCTGGATGGATGTGACACAAGCTCCTGTCGAGTCCCAGGCTGCATGAAAGCCAAAGTCTCTGCTGCTGTTTGGCTTCTGGTTCAGGCTAATCCGCATGTCGCAGAAGTTTTCCTGGAAACGACACAGGTGAGGAGAGATGAACTCGCTAACAGAGATGAGCTACAGAAGGCATCATGTCAGGTTGCATCTCTGCATTGACAGGAACACCTATTGATCATTTATTGAATAAACTTGTTGCTACAGTTGAGCCTCTGCAGAGAAACACTGTTTTTAAGATTAAAGAAAATATTTACAAATTCACTGATGTTTCCCAGCGTATCAAAACAGCTGATCAGTTTATTCAACAGTGCATAAAGTGATTACCTTGCTGGTAACTTTGACAGGAGCAGAAGCGACAGGAGCTTCGCTCTTTACACGAGGCATGACGGATGAGACGCTCTGAGTGGAGGGGACACTTTCTGTTTTGGTCCTCTTCTCCTCCTCCTCTTTTTGTTCTTCCTCCTCTTCCTCACTGCTGTGAGCCGAGTTGGATTGAGCCTCATCCTCAGATGTCATGAACTGATGATACCGACTTGGCACCGATGTCTTCTTAGAAACAACAACGTCACCGTTGACACGCTTGTTGGCGTCGTCCACCTGTCAAAGAAAAATACGACGTCAGATGGAGTCTAAAGGACAACAAAAAGAGCAAAACTTGAACATCACTGGAATGATAATGTAACGTTCAGCCTGCAAATGTGTAGAAGCAACTAAAAGTTTCCAATATTTTAACAGCTTAAAAATGATCAGAAGTGTAGTGAACCTGATGACCTGATGATCTGACCCTTATCTGACCCTGATGACCTCAAATCTACCAGATGGACAGAGACTGTTATTTTCATTGATCTGAATAAGTCTGAGCCATCTGATGACTTTCTTTCTTGAATTAATCAAGCAGAAAAGACAATCCTCTATAATCATTACTGTCTTACAAATGTTTTGATAATCAAATTGTGTTAGTTTCACTCAATGCTTACAGGTTGAAAAGAACTACTCATTTTTATTTTACATAAACAGTAAGTAATGATTTTTATTCCTCATTCAAAGAAGAAATCACCTGAATATGCATTTCTTGATTTTCTGTCTGAAATGAGCCAAGTCGTAAGTATGTGAAAGTTGAAGCTTCGGTCAACTAAATGTTTACTGAAGAAGAAATGTCATGTTTAACTATTTGAGAAGATAATCAGAATAGAGACTCCACGAAGTCTGCTTTTTGCAATAATCTCTCTGTCAGTTGTTAAACAAATCTCATTTCCTGACCTCGACTCTTGATAATACCTTACGTCAAAAACCACACCTCTTTCTGGTACATCCACGAATCAGAAAGCTCTAAATTGAACCGGAAGTCGACCCATTTAAAATGTGGCAACTTTCCAGTTCAAGTTAGTTCTGAATTGTTCTGAAGAGTTCTGAGAGTTGGAATGTTTCTGGAGCGGTTCTCATGTAGTTCGGAAGCAGTTCTGAAGCAGTGCTCAAGGAGTTCTGAAGAGAATTGGTTAGAATTCATGGAGAATGGTGAAGTGAATGGAAGAGAATTCGAGAATTCAGGAGAGTCAGAGACGTTGGAATTATAACTTCTGTTTGAACAACCCACGCACGACTATCTAAGGATTTCAGCAGCTCTCAACGGAGACGCTGAAAGGTCTGGAGGACTCTCTATCGAGCTGATCTATCATCAACAAGGTAACGGTCTCTTCTTCGACTAAAGTGTACCGGAGGCGAGCTGAAATCTGATGAAGCGTGCACGTTCTGGTCAACAGATTAAATTCCCTCACATATTTCTCTGTAAGATAAATCTCCACTTCATCTTAAACTCTTCTCTCTCTCACAAAACCAGTACAGATATTTTAGAAATATCTGAAGCAAAGTCCTCAAATCACCGCCGAGTGATTTGAAGTTCATTATTTGTGAAACTGTCTGTCATTATTTTCATATTTTGCCAAATTAATGTAAATGTTTGATGTTAAACTTTGATTCTGAAAATAAATGACTCCATTCATTTGATGGGTCAAAGATAATAACGTCTCTCGTTCGCATTTCTGTTAAATTCAATGCACGGCATTACACAGTCAGAAAGATGAGGAACTCGTGAAATAGTATGCATATAAACGGGGATATATTGTCATACTACAACTAGTGACACGTACCCACGTGACTCACTACAAACTGGTGGCTCGTACGCCTCATGAATGACTGTTAATTCGTGTAAACATTGATTTACGTGTTGGCATGTTGAAAAAGTAACAGTTTATCAGCTGTGATTGAACGCAGCCGGAGCTGCGCGCTTGGAGCTGCGCGCTTGGAGCTGCGCGCTTGGAGCTGCGCCTTTCAAGCAAACGCTGCATGTTCTAAGCGTTGGGCTAGTAATGTTTTAAAAGCTGAAATTGTGTCATTGAGTCTTTATGAAAGCTGAATTTGTACGTCTGTTACGTGTAACTAAGAGCTGATGAGCTGTGGAAGACGTTATTCTGTCTAAAAGTACGAGGTTCTGCTTTAAGACCCGGCTGTGGACCAGTTCGGTTCTGTTCAGTTCGAACGAGTATTTTGAATAGATGGATAAACGTTTTAAAAGCTGAGTGCCATCTCAGAACACAGTTAGGAGTTGATTCGTTACAATTTTTAACAGAAAAAGTGCATTTTGACAGTTTAAAAGACGAAAAGTTGACGAACTATTTCACGCTAATCTAACTTGCTAGTTGGAGAAAACGCTTCCTGATTGGTTGAATTCGCTGTTGTGGAGCGCTCTGATGGGTTGAGAAGGCTGACTGGCGTGGCTACGTCACTTCCTCTCACCCTGCGCTGCTTTGCCATTGGTGATTTCAGTCACGTGACCCGGAAATGAAATTCGTTTTCATAGGGAAATAAAATCTGCTTTTTAAAGCTGAAAAACGCCTCTAAAGTGATTCTAAACACGCTGGTTAAAAGCTTCGAAGCATATTCGCTGAAATTTTGCCACGTTAGAGCTTAAAATTCGTCATAAAATGATGTTTTCAAACAACACTAGCGATGCTAATTTTAAGCTAAACAGCTAACGACCGGAGTTTTAACTACGCCTAAAATCACTAAATGAAGCTGCTATACTGTTCCAAAAACTCATGTTCAGGCTAAGAAGTCGTGTTTGTTGAAATTTTGCCACGTTTGTGTAAAAAATCCGTTCAGAAATGTTGATTTTAACCGAGTTTAGCCGAAGCTAACTTCAAGCTAAGCGGCTAACAACAGGATGTCAACCGAACGCCACAGGAAGTTATAGCTCCCCTAGTGGATAACACAAACAGTGTCTGAGTTAAGATTAGTAAGGTAAGGCTGACATCTTCTGGACAACCTTGAGAAGACAGGTTTCACTCGCTTTTAGGTCTAAACAGTGAAATTAAACGTTTTAATCTTTCTAAAAGCATTTTCGAGTCAATAAACGTTCCTTAAAGCTGAAAATTACTGTTACCTTGCATTTTAAAAGTTATAAGGTATTTATGCAAACGAGCATTCACCAAAACAGTTTTATTTCACTGGTAATCCCTTAAAACTAAGGTACAAAAATAAACATTAACTTTTTAAAAATAGAAACAGTTACAGATTTTCACAAAGTTGGAAAAAGTTTACTCATTTGCTAAAAGGATAGTGCACATTTAATTGATAAATCACTAAATAAAAGTAAATACATCAGACAAAGAGACTTTGCTGATTTTATTTATTTTAAAAAACCTAAAACATTAAAATTCTCCTGTTTAATCTTTAAATAGAAGAAAAATGACAAGCGAAGAAGATGAAGACAACTTTTCAAAACCAACAAATGATGATATCATTTTGGGGGCCTTACATATTTTGACAAATCCACTTATTGGCAAAGAAAAAGAGCAATTACAGCAACTTGATGAAGCTCAAAGACAAGAAGAGCTGAAAAGTTTGGCCGCAGGAACATTAAATACAGAGAGTAAAAAGCTTAGCCTTGAACGGTTAGCAAAAATCTCTCTGCTTCTAAAAGCTGAATTGGATGAACGGTCGGAACGCCTTGACTGGATGTCTAAAACACATGAGAAGGATCTCTCAGAAATGCAGGCGTCACTAGAAGCAAAATCTTATGAAAAGATTAAAGAAATAGACCGTCAGTACAAAGCCACGTGTGCAGATAACGAGGTGCTACAACAACAGTTGCAGCTTGCAAAAACTGAACTGGAACAATGCAAAATAGATAAACAAAATCTACAAAAGCTACATATGCGCTTAGAAGGTGACTACTGTACATCCCAGGAACATTTAAAAAAATGTGAGGCGAAACTAATAGCAGCAATAGAAAAAGGTCAGAATGTTGTTCAAGGTGACCTGGAATCCAAACCAGACCTTGAACAAAGTCGGACTAATACACCAATTACTCAACGACCTCTTTACTCACATGGTCCTTTTAGACCCATCCAATCACCTACACAAACGGGCAGAGTAACACCCCCACAACTGATCACGCATGTGAGACCATTGATATCTTCTCCATCAATGGATGACTTGCAAAAAATCTCAAAATATGTACAACGTTTCATCCCTGAACCGTTGGGCTCCGCTGGAACAAAAGCGTACCTCAGAGATCTGGATTTCAGATTGAGAGCTTATCCAAACGCTACGGTAGAAGATAAAATCAGTCTGATACGACTCACTTCGGACAGAGAGGTGTTTACCTTCATCGAGCGTCTACCAGATGCAACGAGAAGGGATTACAAACTTCTGTGTGAAGCTCTGATCAAAGAGTACGACTCCTGCGCAGGGCCTGCTGGGTATCCAGCCGCAGACAAGGTCACGCAGGGCAAGAATGAACATCCAAAAGTTTATTACAAAAGAATCTTCCAAGCTTATTTTGGTAGCAGAAATGAAACCGGAATGGAGGAAGAAGAAGGTTTTAAATTTGTTTTCAGCAAAAATCTCCATCCTGACATTCAAACGTCAGTGCAAATGATGGCAAATTACAGAGAAAAATCCATCAGTGAGATTAAACAGTGCGCTGTGAACGTGTTTGAGGCACGTTGTCATGCCAAGACGCCCATAGAAGTGTTTCCTGGTGTAAAGGTTAAACCCCACTCCCTAGAATTAGAAGGAAGGCGT